CCTCGACCGGATCCGTCCCACTGCCCAACAACCGAATTGCAGTGCGAACGCCCTCCCCGCCGTCGCAGTCCGAACGTCTTCCTCTGCCGCTCTCCCGCTCAGCCCCTTCCTTCGCCCACGCTCATTCCCGCCCGTTCCTAGTGGACACCGCCGTTCTTTTGACCGTCTTATTCGTGCCGCTACTTCACAAACACCCTTCGGACCGTCGCCTGCGTGACGTCCACGACACTCATTTCGCCGCCCCTCTCAATCCCGCTACTCGCCGTCGCGACCGTCGCCGCCAACACGCGCCAAGCCGACTTCACCTCGACGTCGTAACAAAGACGCACCCCGAGAGCCGTGACCTATAATCGGATAACGCCTTTCTGTTGCCCCTGGACAATTCGCGCAAGCGCCTTTGTTCAGAATTTAGGAACACTGATCGCTCCTTTGTCCGGTTAGCCACGCGAGTCGCAACTGAGATCCATTGTTGCGAGCTGGCGAATTGTGCCAGACGACAGCACTTAGACTCGGCCGCCGATCCTGTGCAACGCGCAATCCTTCACTGCACTAGAGCACCCTGCGAAGTCATCGAAGATGACGGCGTAGTCTGTCTGGCCCTGTTACTTCCTTCGGCATCACCAACTCTACCCAGAGACTTGGTCTTCGAATAGCTGCCTTGACAGTCTATGTATGTTTCCCTGCGAGCCCGGAGAGTCTCCGCGCCGACCCGACAATTTCCCGTCAACTTCACCGTACCGTTTCCTCGCAAAACACAAACTAACGTGTCAATTCCAGATCCACTCATTTCCTTGATTCGTCAAGTACACTCGTTTATACCTCAGCCCTGACAGTACGTGTCTCTCACCTCGATCCTCGATATCCGCTAACAGTCAAAGACACGTCCCCTCGGACGCGCCTCGAGATACCCTTCAATCCTCCTAGACGGAACCTTTATGCAGACTGTTTGATAATACTGATCCAAAATGCGTCATTCCACCACAATATGGGCGGCGGCCCTCGCTCTGGCCTCGATATCGGGACCCTTGTTAGCCACCGCCGAGGCCATGCCAGCGCCCCAGAAGACAGACAAACCACGGTACTACTTTCCCCGCAGTATCAAGCGCCAGATTGTCACCAATAGTACGGTACCCGCGACTTCAACCGTGTCTTCGTCCACGACATCCGATTTACCGGAATCTCAACAAAAATTGAGTTCGAGGCAGCAGGGTACGGGCTCCGGCTCAGACGACTTGACATCCTTCTTTGAGAGCTTGCTCAACAGCCCCTCTTCACCGTCCTCCACCAGCTCAGATTCAGCCTCATCGACAACAGTGACGGAGGTCCACATACCCTTTGGAACTACGGTTTCATCGAGCTGGTCGTCGAGCTCATCGTCCGTCTCGCTGTATACCCCGCCGCCACCGATTCCTGAAGATTCCTCGACGTCTTCGGACTCCACCGATTCTTCCACAACTTCTGACAGCGTCGACGCTACGACGACGTCTTATGTCGCATCCACCGGAGGCTTCCCAAGCTCGATAGTCATCCCAACTTCAGCGCCCGATGCCAGCTCCACAGATTTGTTGCCAAGCTCGATAGTCATCCCGACTTCAGTGTCTGACCTGTTGCCAAGCTCTATAGTCATCCCAACTTCTGCGCCTGACGTTGCCTCTACTGGCGACATTCCAAGCATCATAGTCCTCCCGACTTCTGTCCCTGACCTGGGTTCAACTGGTTTATTGCCAAGTTCGGTAGTCATCCCGACATCAGCGCCCGATGCCAGCTCCACAGATCTGTTGCCAAGCTCGGTAGTCATCCCAACTTCTGCGCCTGATGTTGCCTCTACCGGCGACATCCCAAGCATCATCATTCTCCCGACTTCAGTTCCGGACATTGCCTCCACTGGCGACATTCCAAGCATCATCGTTCTCCCGACTTCAGTTCCTGATCTTGCCTCTACTGGTGATGTTCTGAGCTCGATAGCTCTCCCAACTTTAGCGTCAAGCCTGGAGGTGCCTCTGGTCCAGACGGAGACCTCATCAGACACTCCCACTTCAGCTCCGGATACTGGCGCCACGTCAACCGGTGTCCTGCCACTGCTGTCGATTCTTGTGCCTACCGCCTCGGATTCGTTCCAGCTTTTGCCTTCGTCAATCCCCGATGTGATTGGATCTACTGGGCTTTTGCCGCCATTAGTGGTCACTCCTACAACTTCAGCGGACTCAATTACGACTACTGACAGTGTCTCGGAACCCACCGGTATCATTGTTGGTCTGACTACCGCTCTTGGAATCACGGATGCCCCAACTTCGACTGACATTACGCTCCCAACGTCCACCGATGATACAGCATCGCCTGAGGCCACTCCAACGATCGGTGACCCGCTGGGCTCGATTCTCTCTTCCGCAGTCTCTGGTCTTCAATCTGTTCTTGACCCGACTGGCAGTGGTATACTCCCATCAGCCGGAGTGACTGTCACTGGCACAGACAGCGGTCCCGTTACCACCGCCCCACCTGACCCACTCGCGAGCGTTCTCAGCTCCGTTGTCTCGGGCGTTACTAGCGTTGTAGGTAGCATTGTTGAGCCACTCCCATCTGGAATATCTAGCGTCGTGTCCGCTTTGACATCTGATGTTGCCACTTTGGTGCCCACATCCGCTCCTGACCTCTCCAGCTACCTTTCCAGTGCCATTGGAGGAACAGCTCCGATTTCGAGCATCTTAAGCAGCGTGGGAACCGAACTGGGCTCAGTTCTCCCTACTCCAACAGGCAGCGTGGTCATTCCGCTCACAAGCGACATTTCCTCCTTGATCTCATCTGTTGTCTCTGGGGTTACCTCATATCCTGGCACGGCTCCCACGGCCCCGATCACCACATCAGACATTTCGTCTCTACCCGTCCCCACGTCGGTCCCAAGTGGGGTCTTCCCACCGTCGACTTCATCCGATGGGACCACATCCACCGCTGTTGGTACCGGTGTTGACACCTCTGTCACTCCATCAACCGCTCTCACTCCGTCAACTGCTGTTGATACCTCCATTCCTTCATCTCTCCCCGTATCTGCTCCTCCAACTACCGCGAATGCAACGACCCCGGTGATCCCAGTGCCAATCACTTCAGCTACATCGCAAACTTACGAAGCTCCATCCGCGATTCCTACGTCGACTTCAGAGCTTCCGGTGTTCACCTTCGCGCCACACACGATCTTGCCAACGGGGACAGACTCGGCGACTGCTTTCGTAGTACCAACGAGCATTGCCATGGAGCCAACTACAGCCGGTGCGCCTACTGCCAAGATGAGCGGAATGCCTTCTGGAATGCCGCAGATCATCAGACCTCCAGACGGAATCATCAAGCCTCAGCCAGCGAACACCACGCTGTGCGAGTTTGGTTTCAAGTGGCCGCTCAACTTCAACTTTGTGCTCACATCTCAGGATGCGTCTAATCAACTCTTCGTCTACATACCGGAGGCTGTTGCTTACGCCGTTGGAATCTCGCCGGACCAAGTTGTTATGAGCACCCTCAAGCCTTATGACACCACCCGATCTCTTGGGTTCGTCACGACTTTGGCGCTGTTCTACATTCCGAACGATCTGTTCGACGTGCTTTTGCCTCAGATGAACAACCCACCGGATCTCCTATGGAACAACAAGAACGACACTGTGAACGCCTTGACGTCCCTCATCAACACTGGCATCCCTCTTCGGGCAGGGCCTCTCCCTGTTGATGGCAGCCCGACTCAGTCAGGAGGTGCATCAGCAACTGCTACTGGTGGCTACGGAGACGATGGCCCGATGGGCAAGAATGAGAGTCAACCTGTTAAAGCGACCAGCGTCTACATCGGTCTGGGTGCCGTTGCTGGTGCCGCTGCATACGGTGCTGCCATGTTCTTTGTCGCCCGCAGATACAGGAATAAGAGAGTCTCACATCAACGGGCCAGCTCTGTTCCAACCGCCAGCAATCGTAACAGCGCCTCTCCTATGGGAGCTGCTTGGATGGCTGGAGGCCGTGGCGCGGGACGATCGACTCCTGGTGGTCGCGACAGCAGGGGCAGCGGGAGTAGCAATGGACGAAGCGTGCGAACGCAGCAAATCTCTGCGCCAGTAATGGCAGAAAACTCTCTTGGTTGGAATTAACCCCAACCCCGAGCTCCTTATTTGGACGACAACGGATAGCTCGCACTACCCTATACACGAGGCCATGTGTACTGTATTATATGTAGCTCAGACGGGGCATTGGACGAGCACCGATGTATTTTGATTTTCTTTTCATGTCTGGGACGTTTTCGCCAACTAGGCCAGTGCATACTCTTGCAGCCCGTCTCAGGGCATTGCATGAGTCCTGGCTGTCCCACACACCTCCTTCGCGGAAAACTCAGTCGCGCCGGAGGACTTCCTAGTACGTTTGTGCATCGATGCGATTCACCCACCATCCAAGCCCAGCCCGCCACGGTGGCGACTGTGGCTTCGGAACCAGACAAATTTCCTTTCACACTCTCACTCAAATCAAAGCCTCTACCTCTCATAGCACTTTTTATTAGTCCTTTTTTCGATCACATTTCCCTTGATGGTACTGCACTTTCACTTCTTAGATACCTGTCTCGGCTCGCGGTGGGAATGGGCAGACAATTTTTTTCTGGGGATGAGCGATTGCGGGGCATCTTGTTGCATTGGGTGTGTTTATGGCTGGAGAGCTGTGGTAGGTGGTGATGGTGGAGATGGAAGTAGCAGCCCCTCACGTATATAAATCTGAGGGAGAATTCAAAAAAGAAATGCTCACTTACAAACCGTGGCCCTTGTGTGTGATGTGATGTTTGATATCTAGCCTAACGCTGTTATTGAATAGGTCATTTATAGAAGATATATACTTGCCCCTGAAGCCCTCCAAACTCACGCCAGGCGGGATTGATGTTGAAAGCGCTCTAGCGGCCTTGGCGTCTCCGGGGTCTAAAGGTGGCTTCAACACGACCGCCCTCGTTATTGACTGAAATACTTTGAACAATTGTCCCACCCCACCCACGACGTCTGCGCTCCTCAAAACTTCGCACGGATATAACGTACTCTCTTCCTATCCAGTGGCCCCTCGAATTCCTATCCGCGGTGCCTGGTCTGGCCGCCTCGAGGTCTCGTCTCTCCACAAAACCCCACCGTGAGCCGCGACGATGCGCTTAGACGTCAAGAGGCAATTGTTTGCTAGGTCGGAGAGGGTCAAAGGTGCGCTCTCCTTGCACTCAATCTACAGAATCTACTTCGCTAGAGCTCTTGCGCTGACACGACAATATAGGAATCGGTACCTTCCCAAGTTCACCCCCGTAACGCACTCCCGGACGACTGACTTCAACCCCCAGACTTCCACCCCACCGAGCCATGGATTCTCACGACGCTGTACAGCGGTATGTCATGGATATAAGAAGATACGGTGGTGTAGGGTTATGCGAGAGTGCTGACGGGCGAGCAGGACACTGCCATATCTGGTCGTTTGCGACGCAGCAGATTGTGCGGACGTTTGAGCTTACGGATGTTCCTGTGCGCGCGGGACGGTTCATTGCGAGGAAGAATTGGATTGTAGCTGGTGAGTTTAGGGATGTGACATGGAGAGGGAGGTTGGCTGACACTGGATTGCAGGCTCCGATGATTTTCAGTTGAGGGTACGTGATTCTGGGATGGAATTGGGGGAGATTTCTGGGGGCTTCAAGATTGGAAGGCGGCTGACGCTGTGGGATAGGTGTACAACTACAATACGGGAGAGAGGGTGACGGCTTTTGAGGCCCATCCAGACTGTGAGTGGAGTTTCTCAATTGAAGCTGGGACAGGCTTGCTGATGCGGAGCAGATATTCGCGCTATTGTGGTCCATCCTACACAGGTAATTTCTGGAGAATCCTAGACTCTAGCTCTTACTAACACTCAAAGCCTTTCGTTCTCACAGCTTCAGATGAGTAGGTTTATTCTCACCATTTCTTAGTTTGCGGTGCTGACAACGTTACAGCATGCTGATCAAGCTCTGGAATTGGGATCTGGGTTGGAAATGCGTCCAAGTGTTCGAAGGCCACTCCCACTATGTCATGGGCCTCGCCATCAACCCTAAGGACCCCAACACCTTCGCCTCCGCCTGTCTAGATCGCACCGTCAAGATATGGTCGCTGGGAAGCTCAACACCCAACTTCTCCCTCGAGGCTCACGACACCAAGGGCGTGAACCACGTCGACTACTATCCGCAATCGGACAAGCCATACCTCCTCACCACCTCAGACGACCGCACCATCAAGATCTGGGATTACACATCGAAGGCGTTGATCGCTACACTGGAGGGGCACACGTCAAATGTGTCGTTTGCGTGCTATCATCCCGAGTTGCCTGTCATAATATCAGGTTCGGAAGACGGGACGGTCAAGATCTGGCATGCCAATACCTACCGGCTAGAACAGTCACTCAACTACGGATTGGAGCGCGCGTGGTGTGTATCGTATCAGAGAGGCAAAAATGGTGTAGCGTTCGGCTTCGATGATGGAGCTGTAGTGGTCACTATGGGACGGGAAGAACCTGCTGTTAGCATGTGAGTCGGGCTGCTTTCATCATTTTATCGCAAAGCTAACTGATTCGACAGGGATGGATCTGGAAAGGTCATCTGGGCGCGGCATAATGAAATTCTCACCGCTGTGATCAAGGGAAATGAGAAGTTGAAGGATGCTGAGACTCTCACTCTTCCGACCAAGGACTTGGGATCAACAGAAATGTGCGTATTCATATTCGCTGGTGGTGGTATAGTTTTGCTAACGGGAAAAATAGCTACCCGCAATCGCTAATACACTCTCCCAATGGCCGTTTCGTTGCTGTTTGCGGTGATGGCGAGTACATCATCTACACGGCTCTTGCGCTGCGAAATCAGGCTTTCGGATCTGCTTTAGACTTCTGCTGGGCTTCGAAGGAGCACGACAAGGACTATGCGATTCGCGAATCAGGAACGAGCGTAAAGGTATGATCATCTTCATTCCTCTTTGTTTGCGCTTGATGTACAGTGTTCACTAATGAGATTAGATTTTCCGAAACTTCAAAGAGCGAAGCGTGCTGAACGTGGGATACTCCGCGGATGGCTTGAGCGGTGGTGTGCTCTTGGGAGTCAAGGGCCAGGGAGGAATCGGTCTCTTTGATTGGTAAGTTGAGCTGTTATTTATTTCTGATGTAGCTAATTCGGATCCAGGGACACTGGTGCTCTCGTCCGCCGTATTGAGGTTGAGCCCAAGAGCGTATACTGGTCAGAAAGCGGTGAACTCTGCACCCTCGCATGCGAGGACACTTTCTACGTTCTCCGCTATTCACGTGAGGATTACCTAGCTGCCGTACAGTCCGGAGAGGTTGACGAAGACGGCGCCGAGTCCGCATTCGAGGTCGTCTGCGATATCAACGAGAGTGTCAGGACTGGACAATGGGTTGGAGACTGCTTCGTCTACACCAACAACACCAACCGCCTGAACTACCTAGTCGGCGACCAAACATACACCATCTCGCACTTCGACTCTCCCCACTACGTCCTCGGCTACCTTCCCCGTGACTCCCGCATCTACGTCGCTGACAAGGACGTCAATGTCGTCTCCTTTGCCCTCTCCCTCGCCGTCGTCGAGTACCAGACCCTCGTCCTCCGCGGCGACCTCGACGCCGCCGAAGCCATCCTCGACTCCGTCCCCGCCGACCAAAACAACAAGATCGCCCGCTTCCTCGAGGGCCAAGGCTACAAAGAACTCGCACTCAAAGTCGCAACCGATCCGGAGCACCGCTTCGACCTCGCCCTCGCCCTCGGCGACCTCTCCATCGCGCAAACCCTCGCGCGCGAGCAGGACACGGAACACAAGTGGAAGACCGTCGGCGATGCCGCCCTCGCGGCGTGGGACGTCGCCCTCGCGCGCGAGTGCTTCCAGCACGCCAAAGACCTCGGCAGCCTGCTGCTCGTCCTCTCGGCCACGGCCGACACGGCGGGGCTCCGCGAGCTCGCGGACCTCGCGCAGGACGCGACCGCCAACAATGTCGCGTTTGCGGCGCTGTGGCAGCTGCAGGATATCGAGGGCTGTGCGACGTTGCTGACGAAGACGGGGCGGTATGCGGAGGCCGTGCTCTTTGTGCAGACGTATATTCCGTCTAAGCTGCCGGCGATTGCGAATGCGTGGAAGAAGCAGCTGGAGACGGAGGGGAAGGTGAAGGTTGCGAGGACGTTGGGGGTGCCGGGGGAAGATGAGGAGATGTTTCCGGAGTTTGAGGAGTGGGTGAGGTTGGAGAAGAGTGGGGGTGCGGTGGAGGATCTTATTGATGTGGGCGGGGAGGGGGAGGAGGAGGATCAGGGGGTGCCGGAGGAGGAGGTTGAGGTTGAGGAGGAGGCGGGGGAGGAGGTTGAGGGGGAGGAGGCGTAGGGTGGGCGTGTGTGTAAGGGGAAGGGGGGCCTTTTGTTTAATGTAGACATGAGTATGCGATAGGAAAAGGCTTTAAGGTTCTCTTCTTCATGTTCACGATGTGGAAATCAGGCTGCGTTTTGACGGGCGGAAGACGTGCTAGCTGGTGTCCTCCTCACAGTGGTGTCGAGGAGGCAAGAGAGGAGTGTGAGCGTGCCCTTTTAGCACCGATGGGGGATCTGAACGTTGAATTAGGAGGGAAAGGTCGGTGCGTTGGATATTAGACTACCTTTTGACTGACTGGAGACCGGCTAGCTAGGGTGCTCCTGACGGTGGTGTCGAGGGCGCAGAAGAGGAGTATGTGCGCTTTCATTTATCACTTATTGGGGATTTAAACCTCTGACTACTATGCAAAGGTTGGTGTGTTGGAAATCAGACGGCCTTTTTACTAACTGGAGACCTGTTAGCTGGGGCGCTCCTGGCAGTTGGTGTTAGGGGAGCAAATGTGGAGTCCAAGGAGTGAGATATCCGCACCCGCAAATCTATAACCTCGTACTGCTAAGACTCGGAGCTAACGCATTTATTCTCCAGACTTAACTATCAGTGGGCGGAGCGGCGGCATGATCACTTCACTCGCGGATAATCATCTCAAATCATAGTAGAGTGTGAAGTGGTTTGTATTCAGCTGCTAGCTATCCCCGGGGAGTCCTGTGCTCTACTTCGAAGCTGGAGCTGGAGGAGGATGCTGAGCCCGCGCACTCTTCCCTCCGCGCCTTGCGCCTCCTGCGACGGCTTGCGTTCTTCCGTTGCGCGAGCGTCTTGGTCGCCGTTGGTGGGGGGTTGGGGGTGTCGGGGGACATATCCATGGCGTCGGGATCGTCGGGGGAAGCTGGGGGAGCGGTGGTGTTGGGGGCATCGGGGCTGGCCGACTGCTTGGTGAGTTCCTGGGAACTGTTAGTATGGACGGTTTTGGTGTTGAGATGGTGTGGGTGAGGGGATTTGCGCACTTCGTCGATCTGAGACAGCTCGCGGTTGTTCGCCTCGGGCTCTGCTGGGTTGGCCTTCTCCGCCAGAAGATTGGCCGGGCGCGCTGGGAGCTCTATCTTCCACTCCTTCGGGGTCTGGGCATCTGCGCTGTTGCTGGCCATTGTGGCGAGAGAGTGTGGTAAAGGTGTGAAAGTGTGAAAGCGTGATTTGTGGTGTGGTGGATTTTGTGGGTGAGGTCAGAGAGCTGTGGTGACGCTGAAGGCGGATGCGTACATGTGAGTCTGCACGTGAGGGTCATTCACTGTTGATATTGTTGTCTGGGTAGGTCACGTGGCCGGGTTCGCTTCGGCCAGAGCAGACTCAGAAGAGAATGCTTCCATTAGAGGGTCTTTCCAAAAGCCTAGGCACGCGCACTTACCACTGCTTGGGGTGCCCCCATAGGTTATTAAATTCTCAGACGTGATGTCAAGGTTGAAACAATGGAAGTCAAGCTAGCTCTTCACTGACCAGTTGATTGCTAACTAGGCCACCTCTTACAGTGGTGTCGAGCAAGCAAGAGTAGAGCCTAGACAGTGGAGTATGTCTATATCCGACTATTTGACCTGGTATTGAGTATGAGGTTTGAGAGGGGAGACTTGAAACACTCATTCACCATTGACTACACTTCTGGACTGGATCACGTGACCACAATTCTTTCAATTACAAAAAGATAAAACCCTCATGCTGGTAACTCCTCCGGGCATTCACCCTTACGTCTCTCTACACGTGATGCTATACGCGAGGCTGTACGTGATGCTATACACGAGGCCGTACGTGATGCTATACGCGAGGCCGTATGTGAGCTCGTACGTAAGGCTATACGTAAGCTCGTACGTGAGCTTGTACGTGAGCTTGTACGTGAACTTATACGTGAGCTTGTATGTGAGCTCGTACATAAGGCTATATAAATTAGCATGGCTATACAGCCTCTCTGTTCTACGGCGCATTCTTTCCAATTCATGCAGCCGTATATACAGCTGTACGTGAGCTTGTACGTAAGCTTGTATATGAGGCTATATATAAGGCTATACAAATCGGCATGATGTAATTGCTTGTGTTGTACATGGCCGCATTTGGAGAGAGCATTCGGAATTAGTGAGCAAGTTAAGCGAGCGAATCGGAGGCTACGGAGCAGCCCTCCGAGCCAATCAGAAGGTGGTGAAGCGCCAAGAGGGGGGGGTGTACATGGAGTGAAAAGGGGGTGTACGTCTAGGAATTAGGGGGTGTACGATTAGTAGTCCCCTTCTCAATTACCAATCAAAACAGACACCACCACCAACTGCCCAAACCACCACAATGCTCATCACCCATCTCACGACCGTCTCCCTCTCCCTCGGCTCCCTTACCGTCCTAGCTCACCAAGCTGCTCCTTCAAGCACCAAGGGCTGGTCCTGGCTCAGGATGTCCCTTGCCGTTTCAAATGGCAAGATCTCATCTCGTAACCTTTCCTATTCCTACTCACCGCCCCGACTAATACCCTTCTTAGCCTACCCAACTCTCTCTATCTCCGCTTCACACCCCACGAGTACTCCTGCCGCAACTTATTCAGGGGTGGACGAAGATCAGCAAGAGAGCTATGCTGATGGAGCTAGCTTCAATACCAAGGAGCTAGCGTCCAGGGACTCCACTCACACCGGATCTCCCGCCAACGGTGACGCTGAAGAGCAAAGCAAGCCGCAAGAAGATGTAGCTGGCCCCCAAGCCCTGCGGGATGTGTCCCATAAGGATGTTGACGTATCATCAATGAGCCAGGAGCTACTTGACGCCATGCGTGTATTGCAGCAGGATGTTGCGCTAGTACCCGTACTCAACAAAGCCAAGCGCGGGCAGAACCAGCGTGAGGAGGGGAAGGTGTGGCTTTCGGTGTTAGAGACGGATATGGAACTGCGGGAGCGACAAGAGAGACTAGCGAGGTCGTTGAAGGAGGCGTATGAGTTGCTGAGGCAGGAGAGGGAGGGTTGATGAGACTATGTTTTGCTTCTGTCTGTCGAGATGGCTAGCTACCAGGAGTTGTGGAGTTTTTTGACGGCTTTGGTTTCGTGGGACAGGACCGTTCCCATGCATTGGGGGGATGTAGGCTGATTCAGGAAGCTGCTCCTATACGAATGTCTGAAACCAGCTCCAATACGATAGGGGTTTGAAGGGAAGTTTCGAGCAATGCTATAGTCAATTGACGTAACTAAATTACAGAAAGATAAGAAACGTGAATTACGTGAGACGAAATAGAGAACAACTGCAGAAAATGGTATGCGATAAATGATACCAAAAACCTACAGCTAGAACCTCATAGTGCTGCCCATACGACCCGTCAACCCGCTCACATCGTTAGCAGGAGCAGCAGCAATCGCTGGGGCCGACTCTGCGCTCGGCACCGGGACACCAACCTGCATTTCAATGGTAAGGACACATCTCAAACCCAAGTTTCTTATGTTGCAGACTTACAGGGAGATATTCCTTGAAGAGGAATGGGCTCATATAGGGCAATCGCCTCTTCTCATCAGTAGCGAGATCTGGGTTTCTCGTAACAGCATCAACTTCGCCGACGATACGGTTCAGCATGAAACGGACGACCTGTCGCGCAGATTCCAGACCCTGCAATGTCGCCGGATAGGGCTCGGTGATCCTGAGCGGGGCCGTAGCACCTTGGACGGTATCTTGCCTGGACACAGGAACCATATCGTCGCTGTTAATGCTGTCGGTTTCCTTTGATTGCTTCTCTTCGATGGCTTTCTTGGCGGCCGGTGCCTCGACTAGGGTCTGGGCACCGGCGGAGAAGTCATAGGCTAGGATCTGCAGGTTCTTGGCGATGGTTTTGTAATCTAGATATGCTTCTTGGAGGATGTTGGTATACACTCCGGCCTTCTCAAAATAAGGGATGCTCGCTTGCAAGTTGGTGGCTTGGAAGCTGCGGAGAGCAGTGTATTTGGTGAGGATGGCGTGCGTGCGCATAGGCGTTTGGCTGACGAGCTGAGGAAACTTCAGCGCGGCGGCTTTCATGGTTTCGAAAGTCCAGTCCTCGGCGGCTGTAGATAGCTTAGTGATTTGGCGAGATAGGAAGACTGAGGCTCGACATACGGCCCTTGATGTTCTGCCCTCCACCGGTCCACGTGACTGAAACTGTAGTCTCATTCTCCTTCAAGAACTCGGTAGTGTCTCGGTTGAACTGTCCGTTCACACCAACCTCCAGTTTGTCCTTTGTGAATTCGATAGCAGCCCTAACAAATTTTAGTTTTCAGAAGCCCAATGTATTCATCAGAAGCTTACTGTGCTTTGATAGTATCAGCTGCCTGCCGATCCTTAGCCTTCACGGAGATGACTGCGGTAAATTCTCCGCCTTCCTGGAAGCCTATGACAATGTTAATAAAGAACAATGCGGGAATCTCAGTACGCTCTCGTACCAGAAATGAAGCAATCTCCGTACACGTCCGCGAAGTTGTTCGTCTTGAGTCCAGAAATGGGTTGGAACTTGGTCAAGGAGTAATCGTAAATAACTTGGTTCACGACCTTGACAGTGATCATAAAGCTAATGTCACTCTCCTTGACTTTCGACGTGTTGATAAAGTCTCCTTTGCCAGTAGCATTGAATGTATCGTATTTAATGGAGAATGCGGCGTTGATCTGGAAGTGTTACTACACTGTGACGACAAGACTAGCAATATCCTGTACTCACGTTCATAGCACTGGTCACGTCGGTCACTTTGTCGACAATTGAGGTCTTGTAAATCACCTCCTGGGCGACCTGTTTCTCGATCGCTGTCTCTGCATGTTGCTGTATAGCGTCAGGATCTCTCGTCACAGCATGGTCGATGCACATTTGCTGGGTGAAGGAGTTAAATCCTGGAGTGTGGTTAGCGGCATGACAGGCGGGGGCGGAAGAGAGTATACCTGAGCCCAGCTGCATCGCCGTATTGTAGGGTGCTAGTAAGGTCGCCATTGTTCAATTGATTCTCGGGAAGAGTGAGAGAAGATGCTGAAAAGTTTGGAGGAAAGCTTGATCTGTGCCGGTTGAAAGATGGAAAGGATGGCTCTAAATAAAGGAACAACAAGACCTATTGACACTATAAAGTCGCCCAGAGGGCTCCAATACCGCTTGCAGCCACGATAGTGCCACAGGGGTATTCTCAAGCTGAGATTTTGTGGCGTCAAGCCTAGAACTATAGCGTGCGTACGCTCCACACGGAATTCCCGCGCACGCTATTGATGGTGCCTCCCGTCACAGTGCATCTGTGGCGCAATGTCTCGGCGGGAACACCGCTTGGCTGTTCCCTGATAAGCTGAACTTGAGTTAGCTCATTTGCTCGTTACAGAGTGTGTAGACAGTCTGAATGTTCTCGGTCTAGTCCCTGAACTACGGTTTGAGCAACTGCGCTCGGAGCTTATTTTGAGCGGGCGATAATTCTCGTCGTGGTGCTGTCCGAGGAATTACATTCTGGTTTGTTCGCAACTTCGGACCTCTTTACCGTACCACAAAACTTCTTTCGCAAGAATCATGTCACTCGTAGACGTCTTCCCGCAAGATCCGTTTACGCCCAGCCTTCGATATGCGGCAGTACAGAAGCTACCAATCACAGTTCCCTGGAACAACGAATCCATCAAGCTCGGAACTCCTCTGATCGTGTCGCAAACCGAGAAGAGCACCTTCAAAGAGGAGAAATGCGCGTTCTCGCGGGCGTCTCTAGCCAGCAGCCGACTGACTTTCGTGAGCTCCGCCAGGGGAAGCGTTTGTGAATCGGCCACATCATCTGCCGCAGCGTCCTCTGAGCATCTGAATTTGTCAGTGCAGGGCCAGATTGGATGGAAGCTCCTAGGTGGTTCCGGCCAGGCCCGCTACGAAACGAGCGTGAAAGACGACAAGAATGTAAGTGGTATACCAGATGAGAAGCCTCAAGACACTCACAGGGTTACCAGGATCTCAAGTCCAGCCTCCGAGTCGAATACCGTAGCGGCACCCTCACATTTGCCCATGTCCCGCGGCTTTCAGCTGAAGCCTTCCACATACTTCAGACGAGTCCAGAGCCACAGCAAGCGTTCCAAAAGGAGTTTGGAGAATACTATGTGGGAGCGTACATCCTAGGAGGGGCTAATGTCAACATGGTCTCCGCGTCATCCGCTTCGTGGTCCAAGTCGAAAGACCTCTCCGGATCCTATACCGTCAATTTCCTTTGGTCGTCAACGACCAAGCCACTTGACGATCATGAACGAAGCGGAAACCTTTTTGGAAATGTTGCCTTGAGCGCCTATGATTCACTTGACGGCTGGCAGGAGAACAAAAGCGGGGCTGGCAACACCACCTACTTGGACATAGTACGATCAGCAGACGACAACAAATTACGAGGATGGGCACTAGCAAAGCGGGTGACAAGGAAGGCGAAGGAGCTGAAGGTGGAAAAGGGAAGCGAGGTCTCTTGGGACATGTGTGATACCATCTGCAAGGCTGGACTGGTCGTCGAGGTCCTGTTGTTGCCGTATGCAGGTCTCAGGGATTACACCTCGGCTCTCCTATCGGCTGGCGTCTAGACGTCTGTCGATCTAAGTGTGGTCAAGTTGCAGGCGGATGTAGTCCTGTTAGTTAGTCTTAGTTGTAATAGAGGGTTCCAGATGGGTGATGTCCCTCGAACGACCTCTCGGGACTTCCGAGAGCCATGTGGCGGGCGTTCGGTAGTGTTAAAGATAACAGCTGAAATGTGGAGAATCCTAGCCTCGTCCCGTGCCGCGAATGCCGCCGCGTGGCTGGAAGAAGTCGTGGGCCGGTGCGGGAGTGGAGAGGTTAGGGGCTGGCCGGACAGGTGTCTGATTAAGGTTCTTCCCGAACCGGGTCGCTTACATTAGCCCGCGCTACTTGGCTGTAGCCGACCTCTTTCAGCTCCAGACTCATGATGATCAAGTCTTAACCCTCCTTAGCTTTGACGTGGCTGGCTGCACATTTCTCTACAGGGAATCTATCGCTTAATCCTTACCGTTTTGGAAGCTCTGGGTGAGGCCTTATCCAGATTCGGACACATAGGGGCTACGTCCTCAGCCCAGAACAGATATCCCAACCGAACTACAGGCCAGATGCGAGTCTATGGATACGCGGCCTCGCGTGATGCACTCCAAGATATGTGGCGTGCACATACCAGCCGCCAAGGTGGGCTTCCAGAACGCCTCATCCGGCGGGAACAGCTGCAACACCATGTTCATGCATCTGCCATGAAGCTACAAAGCCACCGGAGCTCAATCCGCAGGGGAGGATTCACGATGAGGATATTAGACTATTTGTGGATGTTTCAGCTTCGGGCTCCTAGACTGCGCCATCCAAAGCCAATTCATTTCGATCAGCTAGCCATGGTACGTTCAAAGGCGACGCCGAAGTATTGACAGAAGGCCCTTGAGGTCGGCGGTTATCCAGGGGTTGCTCATTGGTATCGCGTTCTTTTTTGTGCCTCTTCAAATACTGCCTCAGGACTACGACTTCGGCCCCCTCTCCCAAGAGTCTAAATACATTCGAACCTTTCCAAAAAAGTTCCTTCATCAACGCCAACTTCCACAGACTCCAACCATGGCTCTCATGCTAGCACCTTACAACGAAGCCATGCGACTGGGCATGGGGTATGTCACTCATTAATCTTTCCCTGCACATTGCTAATACCTTCTCTAGCTTCAACAGCTATACCCAGCAGCTATGTGTCAACGACGTTGTGCAAAAGCCTGGCGGTATCAAAGGATCCGAAAGGGACCTACGATCCGTCCAACTTCAGCCCAGCAACCAGAGCTCCGGTAAAGGCCAGATCGCCTCCGGGGAGGAGGCCGGTATACTTACAAAGCCCACCGGGGAGCGTTTCATTGAAAGAAAGGATGGCCAGTCATCCGTTAGCCAAGTCGTGAGCTGGGAAGCTGGATTTGTGGACAACATGAGCGAAGTTATCAACTCCTTGAACATTAGCGGTGAGTAATTCCCCTTGATCACTCGATCCTTCAAAGGATGCGGCCTGATCCTATAATAGGCGCGTTGGAGATTACTGTCGCTGCTCTTGGCGGTGGTGCCGGCGGCCACGGCAACTACATCGATAACTCGACCTTCAAGCAAGCCGACGCCAAGTACAATATTACCGTCAAGGTCACGAACCAGAAACTCATTGCCAATGAGATTACCCAATTCGTCCCCATCCCCAACGTGCCCGAGTCGAAGTTCAGCGAAGTATACGGAGACTCTTTCATCTCTGGATTCATTGAAGGAGGTGTTTTCAATGCTGTGGTCACGAAAACCAAGATTGACAAGACTAAGACGAAAGAGTACGGCGGTGGACTTAGCATAGAGATGGACTTGAAGGTTGCCAAAGTCAAAGGTTCTGCGGAAGGTTCAAAGACTGACACGACTAATGAGCAAGAATACAGCACAGAAATCAAGTAAGTGTCTTGAAGTGATCGTTCCGAGTGGATTCTCGCTAAATCACCTAGGTTAAACTGGTCTGGAGGTGGAGATATCAAGCCCGATGACGTAAAGGAGTGGGATATCCCTGCTCTGACGCGAGTTGCCATGGAGTTCCCAGACAACGTTGCAGCATGTCCGCAAAGAACATAGTACGTACCCTGATATTAATTGGAATCTTAGCTGACGGGTGAAGTGCGATCCTTACCAAATATTCCTCACTACGGAGCTTCCACGAGCAAATGGTCAAAGGCTCTCCGCTAGACTACGAGAATGCTGGTATTTATACATCCTCGCTGCTCGATGCCTACATGGTATACTCCATCCCATTTTTGAGAAAACTCTTGTAGGCTGACTTCTTCCAGGATTACAAATCCATGTGGAAGGAAATCGCCGAAAGTAAGTCCACTCTCGTCCTATCCGAAAGCTCTTCTTCCAGCGTGACCAGTACCAACCCTTCTTAGTTATATATGAGCAGGAGAAGGGGCAGTCAAAATACCACCCTCGAAAATCAGACGACAATCTGATTACCTACGGAAAGAACTTCCAGGAAGACTATGATCTGCGCACCAAGGCCTTCGAGGAGGAGTCGAAAACGGCTCTTGCGCGACCAGGAGCATACGCAGGTATCGTTCTTGAGAAGCCTCTGCCACCAAATGAGCTCCAGCCCTACATCCCCGATATCTTCGGACTGGACAAAGCTCGGCGTGACTGTAGGTTTGAGATGATCAAGATCGTCCGTGAGGTAGGCTCATTCACTCTCGTCGATGAGGTCTGGACTTATCTTGGAATAGGTCGGCGAGGTCTCGAACAATCCCAAGGTAGCAACGGATCCGTATCGCAATTGGCGGTATCTAAGCCCAAACATATTCAAGCGGCTTCTTCCAGTAGGTCTCGCAACAAAGAGTCTCTTCTGGGCGCTAATTAAGGCAGACTCCGAAAACAGCAGAGGAGATCGAAGCGGACAGAATTAAGACAAAAGAGGAAATGGAAGCGGAGAGACTCAAGAACGAAGAAGAGATTAAGAAAGTGAAAGATGACCTCCAAGCTCAGATTCAGGTAAGACTTCTGCTATGCCCAGATAAAACGCAACGGCTAATATCGTTCGAAGGGCTATGCCAAAGAGAACGACACGCTCAAAAAGCAACTGACTGAACGAGAAGAGGAGCAGAAGCGGATCCAGGAAGATGCAGAGAAACAAAAGGAAGTGCATGCTACTAATGAAACCGAAGCTCAGTCTCAACGCGAAGCATACGAGAACCAAGTCCAGCAAGCCAAAGCCGAAGCTGCCGAACTCAAGAAGCTGAAAGAAGACGTCGAGAAGCAGCTCCAGGAGAAAGCAGAAGCTGAGAAGAAGCTCCAGGAGCACGACAGCCAAACTCAAGCCCAGCTTCAAGAAGTGTCTGAGCGAAAAGTGGCCGCCGAGCAGGCGATCGAATCCCTACAGCGCGGTATTCAAGAGAAAGATGGCAAAATACGGGAGTATGGCGAGCTGGCGCAACGGGAGAGCGCGAGAGCGGAGTCCGTCACGCAAGAGCTTAACCGACTAAGGGAAGCGGCGCAGCAAGGTCCGGCTATCACGCTCCACTCAATCATCTGGGCCAACCAGCAGCTTATCGGCAATGGCGGAGTGGAACAAAAGGTGCGCCAGTTTATAGAGAATCGCTGGGGCTTCACATTCGACAACGACTTCTTTGGCTGCGATCCGACGCCGGGCCGGGAGAAGGCCGGAAGCATTGTCTACTGTCGTAGAGGAGAGAGCGTCAAGAGCGTTGTTGGCAGCGAGCACCAGGGGTCAGCGTTCTACTAGGTGTATTTCCATGTTTCTCTTTCCTTTCCTGAACATGTTAGCTTGCTTGTATTGTAGGTCTTCTGTCACTCTAATTTCACGTCTTGTTTTTCGGCTAGCTCTAGTAATTTCCAATAGGGTGTATCCGGTTGATCGATCTCCAATTTCTACAATTCTGCAGACCTCAAGAAGCTGCTACAGTAACTGGCATTTCCGTGTACTCAAAGTCCCAAATTAATAACCTAGTGTCGTGCGGTGGCGACGCCGCAAGAACAAATCGTCCTTACACATCTGCACTGAAGCGTCAATCTGGAAGCTGCTACGCGGCCGAATAGAGCTATTCATAAACTCTAAGACGTGCGTTTGAGTCCACAATCCTGAAGGTGGCTGACAAAGAGCGTATACCAGAATTTGGGATCCACCCAGAGTTCTAGAAATATTGTATGCTACCTAGATTTTGTTATCTCAGCAACGATGTTTCTGGCGCCAGCAAACGAAAGTTCGTCTAGGGTTTCATCGTAAAGCTGCTTCGCAAGATGCAAACCTTCAGGCCTGTGTACGATGGGCGCCATGCTGGAATATTCACGTCAATACATCTCAGATGTTGTATTGAAGCGTATGGGCAGTACTCACAGCTGGATCTTCGCCTCCTCGATGTACTGCCCATGCGCCTGCTCGCTGAGGGTAGTAACCGCGTGGACCAATGTGCGAGCGCCAACAGCGCATGTCTGACTGAGCAAGTAGGACTGGATCCTGTAAATGAAGCGGACGATGCCATGGGTTTCGCGGGCAAGATCTGAGCCGCGGCAGAATCCTGGGTTGGCACAAGAGAGAGTGACCGCGGATGGAGATACGTACTTTGACAGCTCCGTCAGGAACAGCTGCCCGAGCAGCTTTGTTGTTCCATAGAGGTCTCCCATGGTCTAGTTGCTCTTTTTCTGTTTGAAGGCGGGTAGAAGAGGGGTTCCTCGAACTTGGACCAGGCGGCCATGTCGGATGACACGACGCAAATATGGCCCGGGAGGCTTCCGGTCCTCTTCTCTTTGATGATAGGTAGTAATAGGATTGTGAGAAGCATGGTGGATAGGTAGTTTATCTGTACACCCTCCTCGTAGCCAGTCGAGCTGAATGACTCCGAGCCTTTGAACACACCGGCGTTGAGAATAGTGATGTCGAGGTGGTCTAGGTGTTTAGCACGCTCTGCGAAGGTGACGATAGAGTCGTAGGATGAATGGTCTAACTTCCAAACCTGAATAGATCCGGATGGAAGATCCCGGCCATTGGCGAGATCCTTTCGACCCTTTTCGCCTTCCCCTTCATCGCGTAAGGCCAGGATTACTTTGCATCCCAGGTCTAGAAGCTGGCGTGCTGTTTCTAGTCCTAGCCCGCCGCTGGATCCTGTGATTATGGCTGTCTTCCCGCTTAAATCCACATCGCGGTGTGACACGAGCGGGAGAGTGACGAAAAGTTGGCGTAGAAGTAGTGGAGTTGGGTTGCTCTTTGCTCAGGCGAGATATCGAACGCCGTAGCCATGCTGAATGCGACTTTGACCCTTGAGAGTGTCGGATAGTGGGTGGCGAAGGGGGAATCGAGAGTCCTCCTAGACTATGGTATTTAAGGCAGTGGAAATCCTTTAGATGTTAGCTTTATACGCCATTCAGCTTTACTTAGGCCCTTCCCTTGTTTATTTATGTCACATATGTTATAAAGCACCTAGGGATGCCGATCCTTGCCACATAATTTGCAGTGAATGATGAGTCACGTGACCAGACATGGCCAATCAAATCTGGAGCCGCTATCAAAATGCGGCCCAAAACTAACTGAAACACTGTGGTGCATTCGGTCAATCAATGATGCCTTTTTCCAATCAGTCAATAGGCAGATGCCCTTGGCACTTGCGAAATCCTTTATTGTTGACAATTAGTAATGTCTTCGGCTTTTAGCGATTGCCCGGGGATTAACATTGAGCGTTATCTCTTAATGGCCACAGGATTACACTGCTAATACTCATACAGTATAACCCAGCCTAGATCTAGCTTGCAAGTTCTCCATAATGCAGTGTAATCCGGCATTCGTAAAATGGGCAACTGCCCGAGCGTCTACAATCCTCAAGTAGCTCCAAAGAATTCGCTCCACCCAGCACTCTCTCGCCGGCTTTCTCGACTATCTCCTAGTGAAAAAAAGCAAAACAACCTCCACATTGACTCAGCAAGTTTAATTGCAAGGGAATGGCAACTGTGGATCTAAACTGTGAGACGTGCAGAGGTGGGACAAACCCCTGAAATAAGGCAAGGGAGAAATCTAACCGCTAGCAATCTTGAATTCAGAGCTTCAAGATCGCCTTGATAGCATCACTCCAGCGGCGTGCATGGAGCGCGTTCCACTAAAGCGAAACTCCAAGGGTCCCGGGCTTCGACTATCGTGGCCAAAGGCCAGCGATGGTAGACGCGCTATTGTTGGGAAGCCACAGTCGTTTGCACCGTCGCATGGGAGAGGGACCCGCTATTCCTCTGAAGTAGGCATGGTTCACGTGTCACATGGGGATGTTGAGATGCACTATCAGTTCGCAAGTTCGGTACCAAGTGGTGAGCCGCCCTTAAGAAGAAACAGACTATGGCGCCTCTAAGACGTTCTAGGATCCGCTCGGCCACACCTACACATACCCATGGCATGGAATCCGTCAAAAGTGGAGGTTGAAGACAAAGACTTGCTTCAGTACTGTGGGTTCAGATCGCCCTTTTCAGCCTCTCTAGCACAGGATCACAGGTTCTATGACTGACAAACCTAGTCCAAAGTGTCGCTTCGCAATCTCTTGCTACTTTTGGCCATGACCCTACGGATTTGGGCAAGGTACTCATCCGGATTGCTCTGGCCAGTAATACGACCTCTGCTACAGCAGTGCTCCATTCGCTGCTCGCCTTTTCTTCGCTGCATCGCCATGATGTTCACTCGCAGGCGGCGGAGCTGAAGATCTCTGCCATCAAAGCTATGGCAGCTGCATCAGGGAGTCGTCCTGGCATTACGGAAGCAATCCAGCATGTTGCTGCGGGGATGCTGTTGTGTTCTTTCGAGGTTAATACCAACCCCGGCTGTGGTTCTATTACGTGCTGATCTAGTCCATTAGATTCACCAGTCATCTTGCACCTCAAGCCAATGGACGTGGTATCTTTGTGGTGTCAAATGCATGATCAAGTCTGCCGGCCTCGACAAAATCCGCGAGGATAGTGATTTGGCGGCCTTGTTGGACTGGGTTTACTATCACGATGTATTAGCACGCTTCACTTTACGGCACTGGCACAGAGAAGGCACGGTAGTTACATCGACTCCAAGTATCCGTGCAGAGGTTAGTATACAGGACTGGCTGGCAGGGAATGCTTTCTGACATATTATTAGGCCTCCCATGCGGCACCGCCCGCCTTGGCTACTATAGAGCTGCTGTCGGAAGTCTGCGATGCAGTATCTGCAAGGCCGCCAGCTACAAAGCCTGCTGAAGATTTGAATGACTACAGAAGCTACTTGAAAATACTCGACTGGAGGATTAGAAGCCTTCCACTGGCGGCCACGGTCGACAATAATGCAGATACGCCATTGATTATGGAGCTGTATCAGCTGGCTATGCTAGTTTACCTCAATCGCGCGTCCGAGAATTCGCTCAAACAAGCAACTAGGACACAGCAGCAGATTGATAAGGCCTTTACTATATTTTCCCAGTTGGGTTCTTGTGACCGGCAGTTTCCTGTCTTCATCTTGGGTTGCGAGGCTCGGAGGGACGATCAACGGGCAGTGGTCCTCGATCTCATCTCCAGGACTGAAAAGAATGTTTCCTCCCGGTCGTTCAATTATGTTAAGATATTGATGCAGGCGATTTGGGCCCAAGATGATCTTGCTGATCGGGATATTAATTACTGGGACAAATTAAGCTATGTAATCAGCTGCTGCTCAATTGTACCTACCTTTGTCTAGTCGTAGTAGTGCATAGAGTGGAAAATGTGGACAAAATGGTTTAAAATCACCTCCGAGATTCCTAGCCCTATCTCCGCCTCGCTCCGTTGACTCAGAATCTAAATTGCTCAGGCACTGGTAGTTGCCACAAGCTGAGACGCGTTCGGTCGGGGTCTCGCTAAAGGAGCCTAAAAAGGAATAGCCAGCTGCAGGTAAGACGAGAAAGCAGAGTTTGGGCAACTACAGGGATTACCTGTAGCGTATGCAAGTGCAACGTGAGAATAGAAATTCGGCAACTACAAGTCAAGAATATCGGCAACGTGTAACATGCAAGGGGTCCTTGAATCAGTTCATGCAGGCGTAACTCCATATCAGATTTTGGGCAACTATTAGGTAAGTACGTACTTACCAAGCACATCAGAGCTCAGCCGGGGAAGACGCTAGACTGGCACGCCAAAATAGTTAATATAAGGCAATTGCCTTTTAAGCTTGTCGTCCTGTCTATAGCATCTTCCTGTGATTCCAAAGTAGAACCAATTCACACTCCTAGCACATATTCGCTCTACGATTCCTTTAAAATGGCTACCTACGTCATCACCGGAGTATCCAAGGGAATTGGTGTAAGTTCAATCACAATCATCTAGTACATGACGAACCCAGTCTGATGGTCAATTGTCTCGAACAGTACGAGTTCCTTCGCCAGTTATCCAAAGATCCGAGCAGCACCGTCATTGGAATAGTCCGAGACAAGCCTACGACCGTCAAGAAAGTGTCGGAAGACTCGGACCTGAAAGGGCGGTCCAACATACACATCTTGGAAGCCGACGTGACCAACTACGACGCTCTGAAGGTTAGAGGCCAACCCCACGGGGTGTTCAACTACTGTCAAATAGGTTAAAGTACTGATAGACCTTGATAGAAAGCTGCCGCGGACACCGCCGAGATTACCGGCGGGAGCATCGACTACCTCATTGCCAACGCAGGTTACGTTTCGCAATTCGATGGCTACGACGCTATTGGAGTTTTGTATGCTTCTCCTCCACACATCGAACAAAGACTCAGGCTGATATAGCAAAATGCACAGGGGCAACAAGCCCAAGGAGCTTGAAGAGACCCTGAAGGAGCTCTTCAACGTCAACGTTGTTGGGAACGTTCACCTCTACAACTTATTCATGCCTCTTATCCTCAAAGGCAAGACCAAGAAGGTTATAGCCATATCCAGTGGCATGGCGGACCTGGACTTTACAAACAACTTCGACCTGGAGGCCGGCTCTCTATACTCCATCAGCAAGGCGGGGATAAACATGGTATCGGCCAAGTTTAGTGCTCAATACAAGAAGGACGGCGTCCTTTTCCTGAGCATTTGTCCGGGAATGGTGGAGGTGGGCCACTATAATAACAGTATGATCTACCCTATTTATTTTCAATATCGGACCAGCTAGCTGACATTTCTTTTCACAGTGACTCCGGAGCAGATGCAGGGCGCGGGGAAGACGATGGAGAAGTTTGCTCACTATGCACCTCATTTTAAGGGCCCGGCCACCCCAGAAGCCTCTGTTCAAGATGTGAGGTCGGTTTGGGAAAAGGCTAGCATCGAAAATGGAGACGGCGGCACTTACCTCTCGCACTTCGGGAACAAACAATGGCTTTGATTTGGATGGACCAACTTCCCATATTTTGGTGTTTACGGATGATTGGTAGTTGCAGGCTGAGGGTGCTTCGCCTCGAATGTGATCCTCTTGTAAGACCGGTTACCGAGTGTATTGAGGAACATCCCCTAGCTTCTATTCCAGCAATGCAACGTTCCTTCTATGGTGTGTCGTGTCTATTCGCAAGCCGAACATCAGTGTTATATTGGAGGCTTACTGACTCGCTATCTCATTGAGTTTTATACTAAATTACATGACTGTTTTACTACCTCGACGTATCAATGTATGAGGCTGTAGACGCAGAGCGAGGCGGACCATACGAAAGATAGGTGGGTCGTGAAGATTGATGAGTGCACAAAGTTGAACTGAGCATGTTCGTGCTTGTGATAGTGTGCCTCGGGTCTTCGTTCTTGGTACCGCGTCTTGGGCGATGGTGTAGGAATAATTTTGAAGGCAATCTATTGTATGCTCGATGAAGCATCGGATTGGCGGCACTTTCACAAGCTTCTTTCAATGAGGAGTAAACATGAGTAGTCATTTGGGCTTTTCCCTGGCTGTATGTGAAATATATCAGTATCCTAGGCTAGAATGAGAAGGGCTCAGGAAAGGAAGCTCACATGTGTCTTGGATCAAGAAAATCTCAAGTGGCCCCATTCGCCCATGCCGCAGATGCCGTCATAAACCATGCCCACCACCGAAAGCCCTTCCATTTATCGTGACCAATTTCTGACATCCATCTGATTCAGGACCGTCCAGTCAGCATGACCAGCACAGAGTCGATCATCCGCCAAGAAGTCGACCACCTCAACCCCAGCCGTATGCAATTTTCAGGTTAACTATTGGAGCCCAACGGCCCCGTGAGCGACTCTGCAATCAGACCCCACATCAGGTACGAGGCTGGGGCTGGGGCCAATCGGAATTTTAACCCTGAATTCCGGATGGCGAAGGTCGGCAAATAGCCAAATTCAGCTCAGCCCTAGAGCACCTACCAGCAGCCACAAATGAAGACCAGAACTCAGACCAACACCCTAATCTCTCGAGATCCATATTGGAGGCGGGGCAATGTTCCCGGAGTCGAGGATACCAAAGATATGTGTTAAGATAATTGTACGTGTGTCTAGCTAAGTGAGTGTGGATATTCCTGCGCTTCCTTTAATCACAGCAATCCTAGCAACTGTGAGCAAGAAGCTGGGTTGTGAAACGCGGAATGTAGATATCAATATTTAAAGATTCTCCGTCTAGGAGTAGTGGTATCAACTTCCCTTAAACGCCATGCTTTTCCTAATACACCGCCTGCGAAATCCCAACTTTAAAATGAGTAACCTATTCCTAAGCAATAGCCTATTCTTATGGCTTATCATGAGTAATCGTGTACGTCACATCCTGCTGAATGCCACCTCCTCTTGCCTCGACGCTTTTGTCGTCGCCGTTTCGTTCCCACTCGCTACTCCGATTGTGTGGTTCTTTACCGGCCATCACGTGGGTGGTGTGCAGAGGATACAGGGTGAGGACACCATCGTTCGCGCGTGACTGGTTGTCGAGATTGTCCAGACTATGCAGTTGGTTTGCGTAATCGGAGCGCTTTCTGTTTGAGGCGGAGCCGTATTTGTACGAGGAGCCGAGATGGAGGATGGCTTTGAACAGCGGTTTCAGCGTGACCATTGATCCCATAGCGCAGCCGATGCCGATTTCGACAGTAGAAAGAACTCGCGCATCCACGATTTTGTCTAGGATTGTTAATTGGTTGATTGTGTAGAAGAGAAGAGGAACTTACATAGGAAATCTGGGCTGTCGATGGGGAGAGATGTGACGAACTTGAATCTGACAGCGGTCGCTACCATAACACTGGTCGGCCATTAGCATTGAGATGAGCTAAAAGGCAGACGGATGTAATCGTACCAGTTGCCGACCAGAAGAATGCCTGCCAAGGATACTTTGGTATTGCGGTTCATTTGCAGTTCCGACACCACGAAAGCAGGGAGAACCCCGAAAACTAAATCTGTAATGAAATTGATAGAATTCTGTCCCAAGGTGGCTCTGGCTAATTCGCTGGGTGCTTTACAGCTTCCGGCGACCACTGGATTCCAGAAATGTTGGGGTGGTGTGCAGAAGAAGATTAGTTCGAGAAAGGTCCACAGATTTCCCGCGATAGAGACGACTATTCCGACATATATGATGTAGATATAGAGCTTTCTGCGCACGAATCGCAGAAGCAGCGTTCCGATAGATGCCTTCAAACACGGTGTTGCGGTGGCGTAGAAGATGCCAGAGAGAAACTCCATCTGCATGACAATCACTTAGAGACGAAGTGTTTGAAAGTGAGAGAGTGCAATAAACCTTCAATGCGACTGGGAAGTTTTTTGGGTCAATGTCCAGGTAATGGCGATCCATTTGATGCGCAATGCCGATTAGGATCACAACCACATAAACCGTGAAAACTGCCTGGTTTCACAGAATCAGGTCCAGTACTCTTTTACACTTTGTGGTAATGTGTACATACCATCGCAGCGGTCATTAGCATGTCGTCTATGCCAAATGTGCTCAGAATCTTGACCCCCACCCGCACTCGCAGAACTAGCGCGATCCATGCCATAATGAACAGAGATAGAGTTACCCCCAACTCCATGGAGGAGTGTGAGTCTGCCATCCTCGTTGATTTTAGCCGAGAGAAATCCACAGACGCGATCGAATAGAGTTGAGATACCAAATCGCGGGGAAAGAATGTAGAAAGCAGCACTTACAGAACGGTTTCGGCAATGCAATGAGAGTGGAAGTGCCAGTTATTACTTAAAGCCCCTTGGCCCGTGTCGACAAGGCCTGATCCTGGCCATCATTCCCGAGGCCGTTTGAACCAACGGCGCATGAGCCTCAAAGGCCAGACTTGGACAGTCGCCGTTCACGCCAGGGGGTAAATGCATAACACTGACCCTTCGAAGAGACGTAAAACTGGGCTACCTAGATGGTGTGGGGAATTACGGAGCATGGATTCTTTTCACTGGTCGGTCGGCGATCATGACCAGAGTGGGGATCAATCAATCAATCAACTTTGACGTCTCCAAGTTGATTGATTGCTTCGTTGAACAGGCTGTGATTGATTTGATTTGATTTGATTAATTTCTGAGATGCTCAAGTTGAGTTGATGAGATTGATACTTTTTGACCCCCAAGTTGAATTGATTGGTTTGATTGATAGATTGATTGATAAGTTGATTACTACTTAGGAGGTTTGATGCCAATTCGACGCCAGGAGCGTATAGATTGCAGAGCACTAAGTAACTCAGGCTTCATATTAAGGCGTCGTACGCCCAGGAGATCGCCAAGTTCGCTGAAAATTCTCTCACAATCAGCTGAGGAGGCTGGGATGGAGTAGATATCAAGGGCTAGCTGGCCTAGAATAGGATAGCGATCTCTTGTGATAACCCAGTACTGAATAGGGTCCTTCGCTAGTGGGTTGTCCTGTTTCAGAGTTGGCTCGCGCTTCCACCTCTCGTACTTGTTGTCAACAGTTTCCTCCATCTCCTGCTTGCCCTCCTCCATAGAGTTCCTAAGGAAGTCTGCTCGGTCGTTTGTAGGGCTTGTTCGACGGCGTTTTGCAGGCCTCACATCAGGAGACGAGGTAGGAGATGCTGCGCCAGCAGCCTTTGCAGCCACCTTATCCTTATGTGCCTGCCACAGCAGCCGGAAGGAGCTATAGCCATTTGAAAGCCAGTTCTTGTACGGATGTGGCCTATCGCGCTTTGTATTGTGATCCTTCGGCACCTTCCATAGCCCCTTAAGCGCGTGTTTGTATGCTGGATGAAGTATTATAGCTGCAAAATAGATGGGGGTGTCTTCTGTCTTCCCGTAGTAATCCGCGAGCTTCTTATAGGCAGCGTTGACGTTAATAACTAAGTGATCTTTAGGTGCATCTGGATCCTCGTAGTTAATAGCCTTAAGCCTCTCCTTCTGCTCCTTAAGGGCCGAGAGTAGCCATTCGAATGTGATGAGAACTTCCCAAATAGCTCCGTGGCTACCAGCTGAACCTCTGCCCTGTAGCCACGTTGTTGCATCCTTAAACGGCTTAAGCAGCTGCTTATACTCTGTAATTGTTGCCTAATTACCTGCGTTTAGCCCTCGCTCCTTGATAAAGCACCGCGGTTTCTCCTTCTTTGTATCCTTGCGCCGAGATGCTGCTTTGATATTGTATTCCTCGAGCTTCATATATATATACGCGTCGAGAGGGCCTT